CATCCTCCTGCAATCTCTTCAGTACCCAGTTGTGATTGACCTGTTCAAGGACTAGATGGGTACAAACCTCCCTCAAACAAAGCAAAAAATCCCGTCAGCAGTGGATTTGGGAGGTGGAGCTGTAACCTGGGCTGCTGCATAAAGCTGGTCTTTACTGCAGTATCCAGTCCAGTGAGGTGATCCAGTTGCTCTCCCTCGAGGTGGGGGGGGTCATATCTAGTGTGCATGTTCCAGGATGTGCTTGGTTTGTCATATGATCAGTTCCTGTGTTATATATTTCCCTCAACAGCCTCTGTGATTCCCATGCAATGTGAGAACACCGTGTTGTCAGTGTTGATCAGACAAGGTGGCCCAAAGCCTTGTCTGGAAGGCCCTGAGGTTGTTGCTGCTGCAGGACGGGATTGATGGGCAGCTGACACCAGCTAGGTTTGGACTGGCCTACAAGGTGCCAGAGCTTAAGAAACTCAGACCTAGAGATCGAGGCTGTTGCTGTGGTGAAGTTTTTGTTCTGTTTGTGGGCAGTTTTTATAAAGTTCAGTTCCAGAGCAGAAACAAGCAAACTGTCCCTTCGTCCTGGCTTCCTTCGTTGGTATTCCTGACACAGGACAACCACTGTGTGCTGGACACGGGAGTTCCTTGTGCTGTTGTTGTGCAAATATTTAAGAATTAGCACATTTTGTAGTCCTTTGAAAAGTCCTGTGTACGTTCTCCACACATATGTGAGACCAGAAGTTTTGAGGGACTCCTTCAGTATTTATGAAAATGCCTTTTGTTTTACAGTAAGACTTTTCCCCAGAGTATGATGTTACACTGTATGCAGAATGAAAATATAGCAGTGACTGTTTTGTTGACTTGCTAATGATGGGCAAGGCTATATTGTAACTCTTCTTTTGTTTCTTGTATTGTTTTAATCCAATATCTCACCTCTCAGTTCTTTGTCAGGGCAAACTCTGTAGCAACTTTTTCACAGTTGCAACTGTTTGAATACGAACCTAAGTGTGAGTGTGTGTGCTAATTTTTTAATCCAGGAGGAAAAACATTTATAAAATTTTTGAAGTTAACAATTGTTAAATTGTTATATTCTTATAGGAACTGTTTTAAATCATTGAAATAACTTATTAAAATAAATAATTTTTGATATCTCAGCTGCGATGTGAATGATGCCAGATGCTCCTTTGTTCAAGTATTGCTCGCTGAATTTCATGAATTTTGCCAGTCATTTGAAGCAGTGAGTGAGTTCTTACTGAAACGTGGTCTGCTGGTATGTTCTGCTGGAGGTTGGTAGAAGGGCAACTCTGTGTTCTTAAGATGAACTGACTTAATGATTGTTTCCGTAGACATGGTTATTGTTGCACTTCCATCTGCCTGCAAACACACAAGGCAGAAGGAAAAGGTCAAAGATCATGTTTAAGTTGTGACTCCTACCCGACCTTTTTCAGTGAGAGGTAGATGGAAACTTCAACCCCAGTGAGAATCAGATTTGTATGAACTTGAACAATAAAGTCTGAAAGAGGCAGAGATTAAGTTGGTGGTGATTTGGAAGAAGAGTAATCTTGATGTTTACCAAAAAATGTTACTGGCACACTCTCTGTCCATGAGTTTGTGTGGGCAGAGGTGCTGCTGGGGCAAAGCACACTCTCCTTATGTTGTGGTTTTTTTAGTTGTTGGGAGTCTTGGGAACAAAAGTTTTCTCAATCTTTTGATAAAAATTATATGCTTATTGAACATGAATAATATGAGGTGTCTGCAGCCTACTTCTAGAAGGTCATTAGATAAGCTAAAGGGTCTTTATCCCCTTTGCATATGTGAGTATTGGTATGCAGGAGCTCTGCAGTCCAAAGAATTCCTTCATTTAGGTGTTTTGTTGCCTGTAGTCTCATTTTTTCCTGCCCCAATGCATCTGTGTGTTAATTCTGCAGTTCTCTAGATGGTGAGATGGTGTGACCCGTGTACCAGGTGTTATCTTTGAATTCTTCAAACCAGTTGTAAAAATCTGAATGTGATGTGAAAGCTGAAGTGCAGTGTTTGAATTCTGCTATAGTCATGTGTCAGCGTTTCCAAGTGCAGTCCAACTAGTTGGCTTTGTTCCAGACTGAAATTCCATTTATACCATTAGAAATAGAAGTTAAATATAATGAAAATTAACCTTCAGAATCAGTTCAGAGACAAATTTATCTTCTGACTTATAACAGATATTTGTAAACATGCACAGCTATTAGTTTTAAAAGAATTTTAATTAAATTAAAAGCAGTTTCATTCATTGCTAGTCTACATTCTTAGCTGTTACTCCAGCAAAACTGGGAACCATGAGCTTGACTAAAATAAAGCAGAAGTAGTTCCCTTAACACTTATGTACTCCTGAATTGCAGTTTATCCCCAGATCTTTTGCAGTATGTATAAATTATCAGTGTTCAGGACACTTTTCTCTGAAGATCACATAATGAATTATTAAATATGCCACTATATTTTGGAAAGTAAGTGGAAATAAGTGATAAATAGAAATGAAGGAACATTGGGTCTCTTAGGAGAAGGCACTATAAAATCTGGTCTACTTTAAAGTTGATTAAAAGTCCAAAATAAATACATTTAAATACACATTAGAAGTATAAGTTGTTCATGTGCATCTGGCAAATGTGTACCTTGACGTGCTATGTCTGTGACATTAGCAGCTGACTGAGAATTCTATTCACTTTAAACACCAGCATCGTTCTTTTTAGTAAGGCACCTATCAATTGTTCAGTAATTTTGAGGACTAGGAAAAATTGAATCTGTGCTATATTTTTATTCAGCTTTTTTCAGTTTTTAGATGCGTTTCTGGTCATTCGGTTTCAGGAAAACGGGTTAAAAAAATTAAAATTTGAAAATAGACACAACACTTGAATTAATGGCCTTGATTTCCTCTGCTGTTCATGCAAGAGGAGTAATAACAAAAAAAAACTGGAAGAAGGAGAGAGAATTCTCATTGTAAAAAACTTAAAATAGAGCAGCTGTGACTGGCTTTCCACAGATGTAATTCCCAAGCAATTTTAGAGTCTGTTTTTAAGCAGCAGATTGCCTGTTTTCCTTTTGGAAAGAGGAAAAGCATCCTTCACTTCCTCTGTAGTCAGGACAGTGCTTTTTTTTCACTAGCTAAAGCTGACTGACATGGAATTAATGAATTTCCCAGTGCGCTGTTGATGGCTCTCCTCACCCCTGCCAAGCACTGCCTCTGTCTCCCCACAAGTACCTGATTTACTCCCCTGTGCTCCAGCACAGTCACGGGCCATCAGGACAGAATAGTCTGTCTGCTCTGTTATCGCTGAGAACTTCTGCCCTTGACTCCAGATGGATGAAAAGGTTCACGTGTTGAGCTCAGCTGCCGCAGGATTCTGGTATTTGTGGTTTTGTTGGCCTGTTTTTGGCTGCTCAGGAGCTTCCACTGCTGTTGTACCTCAAAAGCTGCCCAGGGCTTGAGCCTGGGCTGCTGTTGACAGCGTGGGTTTAGAATTCATGACCCAAGGAACCCTTCATAGATTTTGTTTTCAACCCCACCGTTGAGATAATTATAAATAGAGGTAGCTGAGCTTTGCTAAAAGATTGCAAACAGCAGAGGAAATTCCCCAGGGGCACAGGGATTAGGTTCCCTATCTTAAAAAGATTTTTTTTTTTAACAAGATGTAGCATGAAATACTGATGCTGTTTCTGTTCAACAGGCTTGTGCAATTTCTTGTACATTTTGGTTTTGTCTTCTGCTGGCATTAAAATTTCCTAATCTATTTCTGATAACGTTGTGTCAAACCCAGAGAACTTAAAGGGGAAAACAACAAAGTGCTTTCCACTTGGAACAAAAAAAAAAGGCTGTTGGAAAGAGAACAGCAGCCCAGTGCTTTCATGAGGTCATGGCTGTCTTCTTTCTGTTTTATTAAAAAGAAGGGGTTTTTTTCTGCAGATGACGGTGTATAATAATGACTTCTGGAGCGTGGCCCTTCTGCCATCAGTGCTCAGTTGGAGGCACATAAGCTCTTTATAGCAGAGTGCAACACTCCTGCTACACAAACAGTTTATTTGCTATTAGAGGAAAAAAAAAGTGGGTTCTCTCTTGAACTGTCCCTCAAGCTAAGTATTAAATTTAGCTTCTTTTATGGTGTACTTACTGGTAGGGGAATGAAGGAGAAAAGTTAGATTTCAAGCAAGACAATACAAAAAAGTTACCAATAGCATGGGTTTATGCAGTGGACTTTTTAGTTTGGTTCCTCTATTTAGGCCCTCTTGTTTTCTGAGAATCCTTTAACAGTGCAGCAGAACTACTGCCTGCCTCTTCCTCTTCACTTCCCCATTTCAACTGCAGCAGAGTTTAACAACTGAAGCAATTAGAAGGTACAATTAATTTAAGAGCAGTGTAGTTTCAGCTATTAAAATAGAAGGACTAAAGTTTAAAGAGCAGTGTGAAATTCTTGGAGGACTCTCCTTTTATCGAGGGGTACAAAAACTGTAATGCTGATGGGTTAAAGGAAAACAGCTCTGTGTTTTAACATTTGAGGTGGTTTCTGTTTCTCTTCCTATATTAAACTGACAGAGGGAGTTGCTTGGGACAGTAGTGACCTGTACTTAACAAGGTCTTCTATTCTTAGAACTCCATAAAATTATGAATTTCCTTGTAGCAAGTGTTTATCTTCCTACTACAAAGGTAAAGTTCTACTCAAATTGTGTCAGGTGTCAAAGAAATATTATTAAAGCTAAAAATGTTTTATAAATAGTGGAATGTGAGTGTAATCACTTACCAAATGTCTTTGATGGATTCTTTGTTTATCCATTCAGTAGTGCTGGGGAAAATAATAGGTTTTATTTATGAATGCACTTTAGGTAGCTCATTCATTTTAAACAGACATATTTCACTGTTAGAAAAATCTACAGATCTGTGGTGCTTCAAGCACTTTGCTGTAATTTAGATTAACTATGGTGCCTTTTCCAGGAATGACATTAAATATCACAGAGTTAAGTCAGAAAAGCGTACCAGAATGTAAAGAAACCACATTTGTTTATTGTCTAGCAGTTTATCAGTTCATCTTGGTTAGGCACATATACAGCCAAGCTGGAAAGCAGAACTGGGTTTTGGAATGTGATCAGGGAGTAAGTTTATTCTCCTCTGGATCATGTAGCACAATCTCTTTAGGAATATAGGGCAGGAATCAAGAGTATAATCCCATCAGGGAGGAAGAACAGCCAGCCTAAGGACATTTGTTCCATTCACTGCAGTGTGCTGTTGTACCTGAGAATAAACTGCTGTTTGCAGTAATACTGAGCTTCATCTTGTTAGTGATCTGATCAGTTTTACTTTGAAGGGAAACTATGTATAAAAATTACACCTCTTTACTCAATAGTTCCATTCCTTGGGGATAAAACTGTTTAAAGATATTTACCTGAATCACACAAATGTGTGGTTTTTTTAAAAAAAATCTTTATTACCTGTCTGTCAAAACGAGAAGTACGCTGAGAACATAACTAAATTCTGTCCTCAGCATTTCATCTTTTAGAGTGAAAATGTAACTGCAGATGGAAACCACGAGACCATCACAGCAATCAGCAGGAAAAGCAGTCCTCCATCCCTAACAAGCTGCATAATGGTATAATTTCTTGGCTTTGGTCCACATCCCCGGGATCTAAACCACTCCACCACTTCATTCAGGCTGTACTGCTGAGGCTCATACCCCAGCTCCTTCCTGGCCTTCTCCATACTAAAATAGTGAGTGACACCAGTTTTGTAAACCTCTGTGCGAGTCAGGAGGGGCTGAAAATTATAAATGTGTCCCACAAGAAAATGGACTACTTCAGTAAGGAATGCAAAAAAATAGACAAGGGAGAGAGGGAGGCGACAGGTTGGGAACTTGTAACCCAAACCTTCCACTAACGGTCGGAAAAATTCAAAGTTATTTACAGGCCTGCCATCTGAAATAAAATAGGCTTGGCCTGCAGCAATGTGCTGCTTGTTGGCTTTGAGGGCCTCAAAGGCAAGGATATGAGCCTGAACCAGGTTGTCTACATGCACAAATTCAACCAAACTAAGAGGATCTCCGTACACAAACTTAAACAGTCCCCTTTCAATATAACTGACTATTCTTGGGAGGTGCCTCTGTTCTCCAGGCCCGTAGATACCTGCTGGTCGCAGAGCACAAGTCCTTAACACACCTCTCCCATTTTCAAGCTCAGCACCATTTGCCTCCAGCACCTTCATTTCAGCTAAAGATTTGGTTCGGGAGTAGTGATCGGGATGGAGGTGAAGAGGGAGGTAAGGCAGAGATTCATCCCCATTTTCTATAATCTGCCCTCCAAATATCACGTTGTATGTGCTTGTATAAACCAGACTCGACACTCCTGTGCTCTTGCAGGCTTGGATGACATTTTCTGTTCCTTTCACATTAACATCTTCTATAAGTTTTCGGTTCAGCTGCTCCCTGCCAGACATTCCATAGGAAGCGATATGGAATACGCAGATTACATCTCTGAGAGCATCTTCCACTTCAGTCAGGCAGCAGATATCCCCCTGCACGAACTTTATTCCCTCTGGCACGGCTTGAAGTGGCTTCACGACATCAAAGAGAATCACATCCACTCCCTTTTGATACATGGCACAACCTAAACTGAAACATGATAGAAACCATATGTTAGGATTCGTATGGTGCATGAAACATTTCACCTGGAGGAAGACTATTAACTATTTCAGTGCTGATTATTTTTCTGATGGGAGTCTTTTAAATATTCAGCCATCTACTGTGGGGCAGATTGAGCTGTGATACTTGAGGTACTGACCTAATTTCTCACACTCCAGCAGTACTTCGGAATAAAGAAGAGGCAGAATTGGCGTAAAAAATTCTGAACAGAAGCAACTGAAGTGCTTTCAGCGGCCTTCTGGATGAACACAGCTTTGGAAGAACCCTCCTCTATCTCCTTTAGATCAGCAACAGCAAACCTTTCAGATGGAAACCTCTGGAAAACTATTAAAAAAAATGTATTGGTTTTATCTTACTGCTTTTGTGTCATCCCAACTCTGGCAGAACAACAGGATGGTCTTCGCCGTTGTGTTTGAAATTTGTGGACAAGGGGAGCGAGATGCTTCTCCGTCGGAATGAATACCTTGCCATGTGCCACATTTTACTCCAAGTTGCAGGTATAAACACAGGTATTGACACAAAGCATAACTCTGGTGTTTCTCCTCCCCCTTTCCTAAAACTGTTGTACGTCTATAGTGCTTTAAAGGGGAGACAGTGGAAGAAAAAGCCAAGCAAAAGTTGGATAGGGTTCATCTGAGATTTTTTTTTCCCCTCTTCCCACTTGGTATTTACTTTTTGGTCCTGACTGTGTTCTCTCTTCCCTCTGTATGCAGTTCTAACTCTGCAGGTACTCAAGATAGTCTAGGGCTCAAAATAGGATTTTTTTCTTTACAAGGCCTGCAGAGCCAGCTACAGTAAATGGATTTCACTGAAATATGTACCTTATTAACAACTCTAATCCTAAAACATCACTGCCCATTGAAATAAATACATTCTTGAGAGAGCAGTTGGAGTAGTTAATCTATAGAACTAAGCAGTGTGTAACTATTTGGAGGTCAAAAGAAAGATGTGTGTACAAGTGGAGGCTTGTCCTTCAGAGCAGGCTGAAAGGTGGTGATCTGACCACCCATTACAGAGGTGACCAGACAGGTAAATGTCTGCGAGGCAGCTGATGCCTGACATTTGGAAACAGGATAACAGTTACTTACAGAGTCTGGAGACAGACTAACACGTTTGTTTAAAACTGAGACCCCAGATGAACCAGAAGGTGGACTGAACTGGATCAGGCATCTCAGGCCCATATTTTTCCGTTTTACAGATGGATTTTGCTGCCTCCCCAGCAGCAATCTCTTACATTTATTCCTGTGTGTAATAACCATTTAATGCACTAACCGGAAGCCAAAATAACCCCCTCCTCCAGTAATGAGGACTCTCTCCTTGGCAGTGGTTTCTGGTTCCATCCTCTTTCCTTTGGCACTCTGTGATGAAATTGACCTGCAAGTCACATTGCGAATACGTTAAAACCAATCCGAGTTTTAATATCAGCGCGCATTCGGTTATTCACCGATCTATTTCACGCTTTAATTGCAGCCCTTCATCCCACCACCGAGGCGAGGGAGGACGCTCAGCCCCGGGATCGCTCAAAGCAGAGGTTTTACGTGGAGGAGGGAGCGCTGCAGTGACCAAAGCGAGCCTGGAGCCGCTTGTGACGAGCTCGTCCAGCCTCTGAGTCCCCTCCCCGGGCAGCGCGGGGGTCCCAACCCGTACCTGCTGTGCCAGTCCCGTCCCTCGGGAGCGGTGCCGGGCTCTGGGATCACGGGAAACGGAGCGGGCGGGGCCGCGCCCCGAGATGGCGGCGGGGCGGGCGGGCCCTGCTGGGCCTGCTTCGCCCAATTGTGGTAATCCATGTGCGGGGAGGGCGCCGCTTGTCCTCTTCTCCTGCCCAGGGACGCTCGATCGCAGCGAGGCTCTCAGCCTGAGGCGCTTGGAAATGGGGGCTCTCGGGTTGTCTGTGGAACCAGAGCCTTTTCCAGCAGCGTCCCGTCCGGGTGTTTGTACCAGAAGCCGGTGCTGGTGCAGTCCCGGGGTCAGGGCAATCCCCGGGATCAGTCTGGGCTGGGGATGAACAGATGGAGAGCAGTCCTGGGGAGAGGGACTTGGGGGTGCTGGTGGGTGAGAGGCTGGACGTGACCCAGCCCAGAAACCCCAAATCCTGGGTTGATCCCAGGGGGAATTGTGCCCCTCTGTGCCCTCAGGGGAGACCCCCCTGCAGAGCTGCCCTCCAGCCCTGGAGTCCCCAGGACAGCAAGGACATGGAGCTGTTGGAGTGAGTCCAGAGGAGGCACCGAAATGATCAAAGGGATGGAGCAGCTCTGCTGGGAGGAAAGACAGAGAACTGGAATTGCTCAGCCTGGAAGAGAGAAAGTTTAGGGTGACATAATTGTGGTCTTCCGTACCTGGAGGGACTTATGGGATAGATGGGACAAGATTATTTATGAGAGTGACAGGACGAGGGCGAATGGCTTCAAACTGAGAGTATGTTTAGTTTAGGTATTAAGAAAAAATTCTTTTCTGAGAGAGTGGTAAGGCACTGGACAAGGTTTCCCAGGGGAGCTGTGGCTGCCCCGTCCCTGGAAGTGTTCAAGACCAGGTTGGATGGGGCTCTGAGCCACCTGGTCTAGTGGAAGGTGTCCTTGCCCATGGCAGTGGGGTTGCAATGAGATGATCTTCACGGTCTCTTCTAGCAGAAACCATTCTGTGATTCCCTTGGGGGGTTCCTGCAAATGTCGCCCCAGGGCTGTGAGGCTCTGCAGAGGTCTGGGGCACCTAAGAGAGACTGAGGAGCCCTTGAGACCTGGGCAATTTGGGTGGACAGGGGAGATTCAGATCTTGCCGCTGAACATTTCTTCATGGAAACGGTTGTCAAGCATGGGAATAGGCTGTCTATGGAGTCACCATCACTGGAGGTGTTCAAGAAACTACTAAACATGGTACTTAGTGCTGTAGTTGAGTTGACAAAGTGGTGTTCAGTCAAAGGCTGGACTCAATGATCTTGGAGGTTTATTTCAACCTAAATAATTCTGTGATTCTGTGATTGTCCTGCCTGTCAGGGTACTTCAACCTAAATAATTCTGTGATTCTGTGATTGTCCTGCCCTGTCAGGGAGAGCTGTGCCCTCACAGCATCTCCATGGATGAAGGTGGCTGTCCCACATGCTACCGCATTTGTTGTGAGCCTGAACTGCGTGACACACTGAGAGAATTCTGCTGTGCCTCGTGCAGAAGTTGAGATGTGTTTGGCAGTGGGAAAACTGCACAGCACTGACTGACTGCAGTAGAATTTCTCCCAAGTTAAGCACCAGTGGTCCACTGCAAACTGTCTGTGAGAGAGAGCCGTAGCAGGAAAACAATGAAGAATTGCACTATCAAAGCTTGTTTTGTGGTATATTCCAGTTTTCTTTGGCAGAACTGAGTCACTTGGGGAATGTCAGAAAGTGGATTCCGTGTCAAAACTATTTAAAAACACGCAAGTTTCTGATTTGCAAAACCTTGACATAAGTAGACAAAGTGTGCTGTGTTGTTATTTTGATTGATGGCTGGCAAGAATTAAAACAGATTCCAAGAAGAATTCTGAAAGTATTAAAGATTAATTTTTTTAGCTATAATTCCTTGCTGGCTAACCTCTGGGATTCTTAAATAGCAATTTCAAGGTGGAGCTGGTGCTGTACCTGACTATGCAGAGCTGTCTGGCTTGGAGGGCATCCTTCAATCACAGCTGATTTCCCTGTCTGCTACCTGTAAAGTAGGAGAATGGGTTTGAGACAACCCTGAAAAATGCCATCCAGATGTATAACCAATGGTATGTTCACAAAAGTATGATAATTTTAGCTCACAAGCAGAAAAATCACTTGTGTATTCCTAAATACTACATATAAGAATTCTGTGAGGCTGCACTTGCCTTCTGGGATTATGCACAATCTTGATGACGATTTTGAGAATATTTTCCCAAATGTATAATCACCACGAAGCACCAGAAAGTCCCGAACTCGCCCTGAGATCTGCGGGCACAACATGTTTTGTCTTTGAGGAGCCTCCCTGAGACTATGACAGTTGGTGTCTGTCTTCTGATCAAGCAGATTGTGTTGGACTGGAATACTGCAGAACCATGGGATGGTTGGGGTTGGAAGGATATTGCCCACTGAACCCCCTGCACAAAGCAGGTTTGCCCAGAGAGGTTACACAGGTCCATGTTGGTATTGAGTTTCTCCCAGAGTGGAAAATCCATGTGTTCAGCTGCTTTCTCCTCATAGCTCACGGATCTTTGTGCTGTCTGAACGGTGTCTCTGACCTTGCACTCCATGTTGTGTGAGTAAATCCCTCTGTTTGAACAGGCAGCTGTTAACCTCAGGATGACGTTCTGTCCTCTGGACTTTGTGATGTGTCCACGCAGGATTGAGACCTCTCTCTTTACATTCTGGTTTTCTTACTCTCTTCCTGGGTATGTCAGATTACTTCATAATTAGAGTAAATATTATGAATATAATACAGCTGTAGTTAAGGTACTGTAAAGATTTTGCTCTTAAACCACTATCAGTTTTATTTCTCGTTATAGTGAACTGTCCTTTTCGGCTTCAAAGAATAGTAAGGAACATTCATTCCTTCAAAAAGGTGACATCTCTGAAAGCTGTGGGTAAATACTGTCCTTGTTTTAAATTTACAGATTTGATGTTAAGACTTGACACTCTCATATCTCATTGTTCTGCACTACCCACTTGTTCGTGCCCTTTCATTCCCTGTGAGACTCCACTTTTCCTAATGCTTTATGGACTTCCTGAATGCATCATAAATTCTGGTTTGCCGTCAAACAAATGGACTTCCAGTTTTACTTTATGTGTAAAAGAATGCTTGTCCTGAGATTGTGTCTTCATAATTTTCCCTTTAAAGAGACCACACCAATGCCTGGAATCGCAACTTAGGGCAAGATGTGTCAGGAAAGAAGCATTTGCAGCATGGAGTGGGAGTTATCTCAGTACCACAACCTGAATTGCAATCAACCTGAAATAGGCTGCAAAGAAATCCTTAAATCAGCAACTAAACAGAGCTGAATAAGCAGCTGTGGTGAACAGTGCAAGTTAGAAAGAAACAATGAAATCATTAATTATTCTTTCATAGTATGTTAGTCATCTGGTTCCCATTGCAATTTAAAATACTTAGCTAGTAAAATTATTTTTGTCATCAAAATACAAAGCATGCCAACAGTGCTATTTCAGGAAGCAGGGCAATATTTCAGCTGGGGAAATAAACCTTAGCTTACTGTTTTCATATTATTTGATTGATTTCTTTTTTGTATTACTTAACTGTGCCTTTATTTTTTTTTTTTTTCATTGAGCAATAGGATAAGAGAAGAGGACAAGATTTAAAACTAGGTCAGAACCAACAACATTTATGGTCTTACTAAAACATATAAACCCAATTGGTTAAAATAGTACTGAAGAGGTGAAAACTGAATCTGCAATGTGATTGGAATTAGAATTACAATGTTCAAAATTAAAATCAAACATTCAGTCTAGATTAGAATGGAATATTTTTCAAGGAGGAGAGGCTCCTGGATAAAAATGCTAGTCTGAGTTTTAGTCTTGACTCTGAGAGAGGTTCCCTGAGTGAACTTCAGAAAATCGATTTCTGCTCTGTGACAGAGGTGGTGTTGCACTTCCTCACTGCCTGAGGTTGTGGTTGTGCTGGCTTCATTTGTGTTTCTGATGCTCAGATGGGAGCTGCTGTAAAAATAATAATAAAGCAGGAAATAAATTGTGTGGGGCTTAAAGAGTTTAGGGAAGTATGCAAGTTATACCTTTTAAAAGTGTTTAAACTGACCTCTTCTTAGGATACCTGTTGATTGTGCAGTGTTGCTTGTGGGCAGTGTCATACATTTGGTTATGTGGAGATGACCGTCCAAAGCCCTTCTAGTTGCTTTTTTCCATGAGTTCCAGTAGTGAAAAACCTTAGCCCCTCTCTTCCAGATTGAGAAAGGAAAAGGATTTCAACATTAATTGTATTTACTGATTAGTGAACACCACTCATTAAGGCTGATTAAAATTGTTCGTCTCAACCCTTGCTTTGTGTCATTTTCCTAATTTAATTCTTTGTTTTTCTCAGGAGAGATGACTTCACAAACATTTCCAGTCCTGATGAGGAGGTGGTGGAGGGAGTAGTGAATTCATTATCAAAGTAGGAATTCACAAAATGGAAGGTAATCTCTACTCAACAGAGCTCTTGAAAAGGGTTTGACTGCAGTATATTTTGAGATCCTTGGGTGAAGGAAGAAGTTTGGTATATATAGCACTGAACATACATGGCCTTTGTTATAGAATTCCTTCTATACTGTCAAAAAATTAATCTACTATTTTAGTTTTGGAATCATCTTCAATGTGGTTGCGGATTTTGGGGTGAGTGATCACCTGTGGGTAGGAACTTCATTTTCATAGATGTCCAGAAGCAAGATCCAGTGAAGAACCCACAGAGGCAGTGGGGTGTGGTGGTGTCAGCAGCAGTGAGGTGTGATGATGTCAGCAGCAGTGCAGGGCCCTGCTGACAGGTTTCTGGCCCTCCCTGTTTGCTGGAAGGCAGGAGTCTTTCATCTCCTCCCTTCCTTCTGCACTATTGCTTGTGTGCCCTGAGAGAGGGTGCTGTTGTACCGTCGTGCTGAGGGACCACAGCTCTCTGACATCAGTGGTATCAGCCTTATATTTTATGTAAAGGCTTAGTTACCAAGGAGGTATTTCATGCAACATATGTGAAATGTGTGGTGTAAACAAAAGGATTAC